AGACATATGAAAACATTGGGAGGAAACCTGTGAAGGAGACATGTGAATTGTGAACACATTGGAAGAAGACACATGTAGACATTGGATGTAGACACATGGAGACATTGGGAAGAGACACGTGAAACATTAGAAGGAGACACGTGAAACATTAGAAGAAGACACAGATATGGAAAGCTGGAGGGAAGAACAGTACGATAATACAGGGGACTGTCCAAAATGTTGGAAAACGAGTGGAAGACGGAGACATGGTGTGAGAAGAAGAGAGAGACGCAGAGAGGTTGATAATTAAGAGGAACACCAGTGGAACAAGAGAGATACACAGTAAAAGAAACAATGGAACGATGTTTGGAGGAGACTCGGAGACTTGGAGACTTACCAGGTTGTAAATACATTCTAGTAGGAGCAGTTGAATCCAAATGGTTTTACGCTATTCTTCCAACCTAAAAACGAAAAGATTTGATAGATGTGGAAGAGTAATGAATTTATAAAGTAAACTTAGACTGGATTGAATAACTATGGGGGATTATCATCCCCCAGGGGCGGTGGAGAAAAGCTGATCAATACATAGGAAGCGAATCTAATCATCCGGAGAGGAGCTGCTCACCATATCATTTTGGATAGGAGGACTTGGAGTCGGAGTCGGAGCTGTCGGGGCAACAAGTGGAGTGGGGAAAAGTACCCGACATAAAGTACAAAGTGACACGAGGAGGAGGAGCAGGGGGATCGTCAGAAGAACTGATTTCGCCATGTTGTACAGAGTCAGACATAATTAAGACGGAGTGAAGTAAGTCAAGCATTATACTTATATAGACAATAGAACATAATATGAAGATGAACAGTGAATAGATGACCCGTCATGGTGTTCAAAAAGGAACAATTTTATTTGGTTCTGGGACAGAGTAATGACTGAGTTGAAGATAGTCTTGGAACGATAGTCTGTAGTACGAGATTTTCTATAAAGTTATTATATGCACTATCATAGTAAAGTTATAAAAAAGCTCAGATTTTGTAAAGTTGTGTAAGCCGTGAATATTTAGTGATTAGGAGCAAGCATGGAATAGAGTCTGTAGTACGAGATTTTCTATTAAATTATTATACTATTATAGTAAAGTTCTAAAAAAGATCAGATTTTGTAAAGTTGTGTAAGCTGTGAATATTGAGCGAATAGAAGCTGATATGGAATATAGTCTGTAGTACGAGATGTTCTATTAAATTATTATACTACATATTATAGTAAAGTTCTAAAAAAGATCATATTTTGTAAAGTTGTGTAAGCCGTGATTATTTGATCTAGATTATTTGATAGATTTTAGATAGTATTGTGTAATAAGGCAGTATTGTGTAATAAGGCAGTATTGTGTAATAAGGCAGTGGAAGTGGAACATCCAGTTCTGGTCTGTGGTTAGGGAAAGTTAGAGAAAGAGAATACAATGGAGATTGTGGGTTGGACCTCACCTGGGCAGGCGAGAAATATATCACCCTCTAGAGGAGAGACAATGAATTTAGGAAACCTCAGACGTAAAGCCTTTGTGTAGATAGAGAGTCAAAGATAGCTCCTAGAAGATGTGAGTTCTAACAAACTATGGATTCAGAGGTCATCAGACAGGAAGCTTTGGTAAAAAGATGAATAGTCGTAACACCTGGACAGTGGACTCGGGACAATGAAGCTTTAGTGGGAGATAAGACCAGCTGCCAAAGGTGTGAGCAGGGGCACGTGAGTCTGGTTAGAGAGGTCGGGTGAAAAACCACGGACAGGACATTATATAAGGTCCGGTGAAAAGGTTAGAAAGGAGATGGAGTTTGCCCGAATCGAGGGCCATTGATGTAGGTTACTTTGGAGCCAGGACCTGTTACGATGGGGTCCTGGAGAGAGCATTATTGTGGACTGTAGTTAGTGGAACTGTGCGGAGTACATGAGCAGTCTGGCTTAAGCGTAGTGAGAGTCAACATTGGTTAACTCAGGAGAGCAGGAATAGGCTGTGTTGTAGCCAGGGTTAACACGTGGGTTAATCCAACACGAGTAGGTTCGTGTCAACAACAATCGGGCTCAGGTAGAGCGAGAATGAACTATAGTGGATTTGGGCCTGATATAAGGACAGTCAGCGAGGACTGAAAGTGGTATGTAAGTGTAGTTTAAGGGTAAGACTCCGTTAGAGACGGTTAACGATGGTTAACCGTGATAGGTGAACGTAGAGTAAGGGCGTGTGTTTTACAACTTAGATGTAGGGCGGTATAAGTCAGAGTAATTAGGAAGTGTATTTTGTAAGTTATTGAATTGCTAATCATTTTGTTTCTTACCCTTTTTACCATCATTATTACTTTCGTTTTTGTTGTTCGTAACCTAAATTACTACAAATGATCTACGAATCTGAAGCAAGTGATGACTGCTTACATTTGCTCTAAAAGTTTTGCTCATCAATTGGAGATGGAATCTTTTTTGTAGTACTCATGACCATGATAATTGATAAACAATATTTTAAAATTCGGTCAAGGTTGGATCCAATACTATTTAGTGTTGTCAGAGAGTGTACAGTTAATTGAGTGTACAGTTAATTGAGTGTACAGTTAATTGAGTGTACAGTTAATTGAGTGTACAGTTAATTGAGTGTACAGTTAATTGAGTGTACAGTTAATTGAGTGCACAGGTAATTGAGTGTACAGTTAATTGAGTGTACAGTTAATTGAGTGTACTGTTAATTGAGTGTACAGTTAATTGAGTGTACAGTTAATTGAGTGTACAGTTAATTGAGTGTACAGTTAATTGAGTGTACAGTTAATTGAGTGTACAGTTAATTGAGTGTACTATTAATTGAGTGTACAGTTAATTGAGTGTACAGTTAATTGAGTGTACAGTTAATTGAGCGTAAAGTTAATTGAGTGTACAGTTAATTGAGTGTACAGTTAATTGAGTGTACAGTTAATTTAGTGTGCAGTTAATTTAGTGTACAGTTAATTGAGTGTACAGTTAATTGAGTGTACAGTTAATTGAGTGTACAGTTAATTTAGTGTACAGTTAATTTAGTGTACAGTTAATTGATTATAACACTTGCACTCATACTGTACACATTACACAGGCACAGTAATGTTTGCCACATTAACTTTACTATGAGTACTACTACTACTACTACTACTACTACTATTGATGAATAGTATTTGTAAAAACACGCGATTTTCTTAAAACTTGCTTACATTTTACCTCAATTGGGCCAGCCATTTGAATATTGTATCTTCCATACACGGTTGTAATATTGTATCTTATTATTGATTAAGGGATTCAATTTAAGTGTTGTAATAATATCAAAATAAATGTGCCAATTGCTGTTGGTGTTATGAAGTTTGTACGAAAGTGCAATGCAAAGCAACTTCAAAGAAATCTTTGTTGTTCTTTTATCAGAACTATCATTAATAATATAACGATTTCGTAAGTAAACCTTGTATGCTGTTTCATAATAACTAAGAATGTTGGTTAAAGTTCTAGTCATTTACAAAAATACTTTTATCCATTTTCTTGATGAAATCTTATCATTTCCTGATACGATAATATTGTTTGTCTTTATTAGGAACTTCTCGCTCGTGAGCTTATGGAGGCCATAACTGGATCACCAACCCCTTAATCTTTTTGCAGAACTATCATTTAAGATTTCATATGTAAACCTTGTATGTTGTTGGTGAATTCCGGATATGGTTATCATGATTGGATCATCAATCACTTCCTCCGAATTGGGGGGCAAATTTTGGTTAATAAAGGCCCGTCGCTCGTAGGGTGCTGCTAGGCTTTTCTAAATCTATTAGTGGTTTCATATTTCCTATTTTATTGTTTCTTGATCGAACATCAAATTTCGTTTCATTTATTTGACCAATTAATATTTGATTGTTGATTGACGATGCCAACCCTTTCCAGCTCGAGATAGCTCTGCTAAGATCTTGCCAAAGTGACGCAAGCGCAGCATGAGCATTGCTGTTGTGTTTTGCACTTCAATTAATTTTCCTTCTATTACTGATCGAGACAGTTTTTGCCGATATCTCGCCAGGGGAGCATTTTAACCCGGAGTCATGTAAGGTGATTCGGAATCAGCGTCCGAAAATACATTGATTTAAATTAATTTCAACTGTCTTGGGCCCTTTTAGAAGATCGAGTGTAGATAAGAGTGATTTAGCACACTCGAGTCTGCACACCTAAAGGAGACGGCTAACTTTTGACAACCAACTTATACTAATACTAATAGTAATACCATTTGTGATTTAGGTATTTTATCGATATTAAATTTGACCAAAACCCATAATTTGGTAGAGTGGACCGCTGCCAGCGTTTCTCTTTCCCAAACAAAAGGAAATGATATTAATTTGAATGACCGCCCGCAAATGCAAAATCTAATTCCATTCTAATGTGTGGCGTGTACGAATATTTTGTACCATATAATCGTAAGACGTCCACTAATCACTCGAGGGCAATCGGAATTTATGGTAATGAACTTTTGGTGAACTCAGGTATTAATATACAGAATAATATGTAAAATAAATATTAGAGTATGTAATTTAAGATAATTCGTCAGATTTCATATCAGCTGTGCTTTGTCGTGCCAGTGGCAGTTGCAGTGCCACCCTGCGTGATTATACGATGCTAAAACTTGTCCGGACTCCGGTTCTGGTAGCATTCTTATATTAATACTTTATAATATTACATTTTCCTGTTAACTGAATACAGTCCCGAGAAATCAACCCCACTAGTTTTATTTCTGACTTCAAAGTTGAAACTTTTCGCAATGTTTCCCCTATTCCCTACGTCTCCCTGTCTCCCTGTCTCCCTGTCTCCCTGTCTCCATGTCTCCCTGTCTCCATGTCTCCCTGTCTCCATGTCTCCCTGTCTCCCTGTCTCCCTGTCTCCCTGTCTCCCTGTCTCCCTGTCTCCCTGTCTCCCTGTCTCCCTGTCTCCCTGTCTCCCTGTCTCCCTGTCTCCCTGTCTCCCTGTCTCCCTGTCTCCCTGTCTCCCTGTCTCCCTGTCATGTTTCGAAACGATTATATGGTACAAAATATTCGTACACACCACACATTAGAATGGAATTAGATTTTGCATTTGCGGGCGGTCTCCCTGTCTCCCTGTCTCCCTGTCTCCCTGTCTCCCTGTCTCCCTGTCTCCCTGTCTCCCTGTCTCCCTGTCTCCCTGTCTCCCTGTCTCCCTGTCTCCCTGTCTCCAGTCTCCCTGTCTCCATCTCTCCCTGTCTCCCTGTCTCCATGTCTCCATGTCTCCATGTCTCCATGTCTCCATGTCTCCATGTCTCCATGTCTCCATGTCTCCATGTCTCCATGTCTCCATGTCTCCATGTCTCCATGTCTCCATGTCTCCATGTCTCCATGTCTCCATGTCTCCATGTCTCCATGTCTCCATGTCTCCCTGTCTCCCTGTCTCCCTGTCTCCCTGTCTCCCTGTCTCCCTGTCTCCCTGTCTCCCTGTCTCCCTGTCTCCCTGTCTCCCTGTCTCCCTGTCTCCCTGTCATGTTCGAAACGATTATATGGTACAAAATATTCGTACACACCACACATTAGAATGGAATTAGATTTTGCATTTGCGGGCGGTCTCCCTGTCTCCCTGTCTCCCTGTCTCCCTGTCTCCCTGTCTCCCTGTCTCCCTGTCTCCCTGTCATGTTTCGAAACGATTATATGGTACAAAATATTCGTACACACCACACATTAGAATGGAATTAGATTTTGCATTTGCGGGCGGTCTCCCTGTCTCCCTGTCTCCCTGTCTCCCTGTCTCCCTTCCTCCTGTCTCCCTGTCTCCCTGTCTCCCTGTCTCCCTGTCTCCCGGTCTCCCGGTCTCCCGGTCTCCCTGTCTCCCTGTCTCCAGTCTCCAGTCTCCATGTCTCCATGTCTCCATGTCTCCATGTCTCCATGTCTCCATGTCTCCATGTCTCCATGTCTCCATGTCTCCATGTCTCCATGTCTCCATGTCTCCATGTCTCCATGTCTCCATGTCTCCATGTCTCCATGTCTCCATGTCTCCATGTCTCCATGTCTCCATGTCTCCATGTCTCCATGTCTCCATGTCTCCATGTCTCCATGTCTCCATGTCTCCATGTCTCCATGTCTCCATGTCTCCATGTCTCCATGTCTCCATGTCTCCATGTCTCCATGTCTCCATGTCTCCATGTCTCCATGTCTCCATGTCTCCATGTCTCCCTCTCTCCTCTCCCTCTCCCTCTCCCTCTCCCTCTCCCTCTCCCTCTCCCTCTCCCTCTCCCTCTCCCTCTCCCTCTCCCTCTCCCTCTCCCTCTCCCTCTCCCTCTCCCTCTCCCTCTCCCTCTCCCTCTCCCTCTCCCTCTCCCTCTCCCTCTCCCTCTCCCTCTCCCTCTCCCTCTCCCTCTCCCTCTCCCTCTCCCTCTCCCTCTCCCTCTCCCTCTCCCTCTCCCTCTCCCTCTCCCTCTCCCTCTCCCTCTCCCTCTCCCTCTCCCTCTCCCTCTCCCTCTCCCTCTCCCTCTCCCTCTCCCTCTCCCTCTCCCTCTCCCTCTCCCTCTCCCTCTCCCTCTCCCTCTCCCTCTCCCTCTCCCTCTCCCTCTCCCTCTCCCTCTCCCTCTCCCTCTCCCTCTCCCTCTCCCTCTCCCTCTCCCTCTCCCTCTCCCTCTCCCTCTCCCTCTCCCTCTCCCTCTCCCTCTCCCTCTCCCTCTCCCTCTCCCTCTCCCTCTCCCTCTCCCTCTCCCTCTCCCTCTCCCTCTCCCTCTCCCTCTCCCTCTCCCTCTCCCTCTCCCTCTCCCTCTCCCTCTCCCTCTCCCTCTCCCTCTCCCTCTCCCTCTCCCTCTCCCTCTCCCTCTCCCTCTCCCTCTCCCTCTCCCTCTCCCTCTCCCTCTCCCTCTCCCTCTCCCTCTCCCTCTCCCTCTCCCTCTCCCTCTCCCTCTCCCTCTCCCTCTCCCTCTCCCTCTCCCTCTCCCTCTCCCTCTCCCTCTCCCTCTCCCTCTCCCTCTCCCTCTCCCTCTCCCTCTCCCTCTCCCTCTCCCTCTCCCTCTCCCTCTCCCTCTCCCTCTCCCTCTCCCTCTCCCTCTCCCTCTCCCTCTCCCTCTCCCTCTCCCTCTCCCTCTCCCTCTCCCTCTCCCTCTCCCTCTCCCTCTCCCTCTCCCTCTCCCTCTCCCTCTCCCTCTCCCTCTCCCTCTCCCTCTCCCTCTCCCTCTCCCTCTCCCTCTCCCTCTCCCTCTCCCTCTCCCTCTCCCTCTCCCTCTCCCTCTCCCTCTCCCTCTCCCTCTCCCTCTCCCTCTCCCTCTCCCTCTCCCTCTGCACGATCAAAATAAACTAATAAACTTGCTCGACTTTTCAAAACTTTTGTACCATTGTTTTCTAGAGACTGTGAGAATTTTCACAGTACCAAATTATTTGCTACACCTTTTTGGAATGATCAGTGAGTTTCGCCTAGGTACCATATTTGATGGTGCGTGGCTTTTGGAGCAAAAGTAGGTGTAAAAGTTGCGTAATTTGACGAAATTTGTTGATTTTTGTCGTATTATTCTGTCATATCTTCGGTTCCTTGAAGTTGAATGAGATCATTCTGAAAATTTGTCAGAACCTTCCAACCATACTTAACTACCGAACCTAAATTAGTTGGGAGAGATTGGCCTTGAATATAAGACTAAGAGCTGAGGTCTTAAAATGTCAAAATAGGTATAAATTCGTTGATAACTCAAATTCTGACCATCAAAATTGCTCAAACTAATTCAGGTTCAGTAAAACATGAATGTTTACGTAAGCTGACCAAATTTTAACAAAATTGTTATATGGGAAGTATTATAAAATTTTGATTGTTTCCGAAATAATTTGCTGGCCGAAATACGAGCTAAAAAACCTTCGATGGTCAGCGCGCGCGTTTTACGGTCGATGGTGCACGGCACGGCCTAAATTTATAAATCTTACCCTTGCCCACATCTTACCCTTGTTGATTTTAGTTAGATTCGAGGTATCTAGATTTGAGGTATCTCGCATATCAAATGAAGCGGTATGCAGTACAATACAAAACAAGTCACAGTAGATGTTGGAAGGTGTATTTACACGTACTTGCTTCCTATAGAATCAACAGCTAGCTGCTGTTCCTTGGTTTCCCTGGTCTTTTTTTGCCTTCTTCGAGCTGTAAATGATCCATGAGGCCAAGTAGACGTTTTCGTGATAAAACCTCTCTATACCGGGTTTCTCGCGGTATAAAGCGTTTCATATACCGCATAAAATGATAGTACAGCAGGCTATCGGTTCGATCTTGACTGTGCCAACTGCCAACTGCCATTGGTGCAGTTTCTGTGAAAATCGATAAGGCTGTATTGTAATTAGTTATGAAACTCTGATATCGTATGGTTAACGTTTTTCAGTTTCAGACCTTTTCACTTAGTAATTCCTGATTATCAAAATCTGCCGAGATTTACTGAACTCCGACTACAAATATTGGTGATTTAAGTATTCTTGAAAGGAAAAATTCACTAAGTTTTTTGAAAAGCATTTTTCTCCGCGTTTCATGCAATTTGATAATTTTTTGAATTTTATTAATTTCTAGTTTGCAGAATATGTCGACACAGAAGATAACAGGGGCAGCGAGCAAAATTTACAAAAGAGTGATGATGGTACCACCGCAACACTTCGACGTCATACATAAAAATCTGAACGCTCATATGAGGTATGTTTATCCAAGTTTCAAATCAAATTCGGAATTTTAGGTGTTCATTATTACTTTATTATTATCAGTAATTGGTAATGGTATTGTTTGTTTAAGTTCAAACATCTTATTTTTTAGATTGAAATACCTGGATAACTACATTAATTAACCACATTTCCTTATCAGCTTCCCTATCAATTGATAACATTGACCGATATTGTCTTGTTTAAAAAGAGACTAAAGACTCATCTCTTTGAAATATTATTCATATAAGTATCATATAAAACATTAGTTGCAACTGTTTAAAGTCAGGATGTGGCAATGCTTGTTCATGCAGAAAAGCAGGAATAAATTGTGAATCAACCTGCCTCAAATGTCAGGACAATTGCATCAATGTGCCAGCTGAGGACTTATAAGTAGGAGTATGACTCTTATCTAGTATATCACAATGCTGACAAGCATTACCGTTGCCATTATATTCACAATATTATTTACCCCCTATACTATTATATCCCCTTTGTTGTTTTTCAGACATTAATACTCATCGAAAGTAGTTCAGCAGGTATATTTAAGTTCAAAACATTCTAATTACGCACCAGCATGTTATATATATATATATACCAAATGCATGAGGAGCATATAATAAATATATATTATATTATGCTCCTCATGCATTTGGTCCGAGTCCGAGTAGCGTCGGAACACCTGGGAGTGGTAACACCACAAGCCAACTATGGACTCACATGCCTGGATCTGGCACCACTCTACTGGACAATGGCAGTCTATTCATCCATTCCGGTAGAGTCGACGGGATCAAGAGACAGGGAGTCGGCCTCAAGTCTTTCAAAACGAATCAGAAACTCCCTGATATCGTTCACTCCCACATCGGAGCGGGTTTTAACTGCTAGGCTGCATAGTAAGCAAATCAACATCTCTGTCGTTGTGGCCTATGCTCCAACAGAGGGTGCAGAGGAGAGTGAGAAAGATAAGTTTTATAGGACACTCACAGACACATTTGATGGGCTACCTCGTCACGATATCAAGTTACTGCTCGGCGATTCTAATGCAAAAATAACATCAGGCAGATATGGAAGTGAAGCGGTCATCGGTGGGGAATCACTCCATAGCTCATCAAATGACAACGGGACAAGACTTGTGGATTTCTGTGCGACGAACCAGCTTGTCATCGGGGGAACTCTCTTCGAGCACAAGAACATTCACAAGGGAACATGGCGGTCCCCCAACGGGCTCACGGTCAATCAGATAGACCATATCTGCATTGGAAAGCGGCTTCGTCAGTCACTTTTTGATGTTAGGGTATGTCGCGGGGCAGATATCGGCTCCGATCATTATCTGGTGCTAGGACTGCTAAAAATCAAACTTCAGTCAGTGACGAAGATCAACGCCAGCAGGCACAATGTGCCTGGCATTGAGCGCCTGAGGGATAGAACTAAGGTTACTGAGTACAATGTGGCTCTTCAAAACCGATTCGCAAGTCTGGATAGTGAGGTCGACCTCGAGGATATGTGGTGTAATCTCAGTCAGACCGTCACTGATGTCTCACTGGAGGTACTCGGCAAAAGACCCCGGAAGGCAAAGAAGCAACACCTGTCACGGAAGACCAAGGATCTACTGATTCAGCGGGCACAGTTTAAGCGCAGAGACCCAAACTCGGACGCTAACAGGTCAGAGTATTCTAAACTTAATAAGTTAGTCAAGAAAAGCAGCAAGCTAGACGACAATAACTGGGCAGTAAGAGTAGCTACTGATCTTGAGGAAGCAGCGAGCAAAGGTCAGCAGCGTGAGGTATGGGCAAAGATCAAGAAGATCTCTGGTAAGAACAAGAAGCCTCAAGCATCTTTTGTCCGGGACAAGGACGATAGGAAGATCACGGATCCCCAACAGCAGATGGATAGGTGGAAGGAGCACTTTACCGAACTTCTGAATCCTCGATTATCAAGTGTCGACCTAGCCGACCTTGATACAGTATCACCCCAACCCCACTTAGACTCTCTCTCTTGTTCGGATGGACCACCCACCAGAGACTAGATTAGTTATTCCCTGACAAAGAGCAGAGATCCTGGTCCATCGCTCTAAGAAGATGACAAAGGAACGTGCAGCGACATCGGACACATCAACTAAACGGATCGTTGCTGAAGTTCTTTCAGGACTGGACTTCGAGTGCAGAGCTAACCTTGGATGTCGGACCAGCAGCCTCTCGAAGATGGTACCAACAGCACGAGCGGCTGCGAACAGACAACCAAACCACCCCACATCCCTCGAGTTCCTGTCAATTCCCCCTTCATACCTCAACACTGCGACTGGCGATCCCCTCCTCTGGGATGACCCTTGTCACTATATAGTGTTGTCATTATATAGTGCGTTTTGCAGACTATATAATGACAAAGATCAGCTGTCATTATAAAGTGCTTGTCACTATATAGTGTTGTCATTATATAGTGTGATTACCGGACGGGATAACTAACGAGCAACTGAAGTATGATGCGAGTGCTCTAGTTGATCAACTAGAGTGTCTATTCAAGAAAGTGTGGGAAGAAGAGACTGTTCCTCAAGATTGGTTAAAGGGTGTGATAATTGTTATTGGGAAGACAGGGGACACTTCAGTCTGCGGGAACAACAGAGGGATCACTTTAAGGTCTACAGCATCCAAGCTTTTTCAGATGATTCTTCTCAAGCGGTTACATGCTGGTATGGAGTGTCTTCTCAGGGAGAATCAGTGCGGATTCAGACAGAACCGCTCATGTATTGATTAGATTTATTCTCTCCGAACTATTATTCATAACTGTCTTGAGTTTAACATTCCTCTTTTCATTAATTTTGTCGATTTCAAGGCAGCATTCGATTCTATTAGAAGGACCTTTATTTGGTGCAGTATGAGACACTATGGGCTGTCTGAAAAATATATCAGAATATTTCAGTCATTTTTTGGGGGTACTATGAGTGCAGTGAGGGTTAATGGAGAGCTGACAGACTGGTTTGATGTTAACTCAGGCACAGGTCAGGGTGACATTCAAGCACCTCCTGTCTTTAATTTCTGCCTAAACTTTTCTGCATATCTAGCTGAGACCAACAACACCATCAGTCAAGGCGCAGTGCTGCAGAAGGAGATGAAGACAGTTGAGGAAAAGGTCATTCTGGACACCGATTATGCTGATGACATGGCTATTAAGGACAACTCAGGTGAAGGCCTACAGGAGTCAACTGATCTACTAGTTTATTACAGCTCCTACGCTGGGCTCAGAATAAATGCAAAGAAGACCCAATTCATGGCTGTAAGCAATTGCGCCTCCCAGCGACCTTTCATCAAGGATGACTGTATTGAGCTGTCGGTTGAGGGTGAACCCGTTGAGCAGGTTAGCAACTTTGTCTACCTGGGTGCAACAATCAGTGGGGATGGGACAATCGACAGAGACTTGGATGTCCGTATCCAGAAGGCTAATGGCGCCTTTCATCAGCTCTGGAACATTTGGAATAGCAGAACTATAAAGACTCCAACCAAGATCAGGATCTTTAAGGCTGCTGTCCTCACCATCTTGTTGTATGGAGCTGAAGTCTGGAACACCACCAAAAAGCAAATGAAACGCTTCGAGGTTTTCCATCAGACCTCCCTAAGAAGGATCCTTAGGATTAAATGGTTCTTCTATGTTTCCAACGAAGAAGTTCTTAGGAGGGCTGGCATCAAGTCAGTCGAGACTTTCATCAGTGCTGCCAGGCTACGTTGGTATGGACATGTAGTTAGAATGCCAGACTCTAGACTACCGAGGTTTCTGTTGAACTGGAAGCCAAATTATGGAAAGAGGTCAAGGGGTAGACCCCGTAAGAACTGGAAGACCTGCGTACTTGAAGAATGAAGATTGAAGATGCTGCTAAGTTTACAGGTGTTGAAAACATCGACAACAACACAATAGGAGCTCTGGCTACCAACCGAGTACAGTGGAGACATATGCTACGCCGTCAACGCGATGTGTGTGATGCAGGCCACTCCGACGACTAGGAGGAGACCTTACCATGTAACATGTAACATGTATGTATGTATGTTATACGAAATTCGGTAAAAAACCCAAAATCGCCATATTCAGCTAGATTAAAATACCTGGATAACTACATTAATTAACCACATTTCCTTATCAGCTTCCCTATCAATTGAGAACATTGACCGATATAATTGTCTTGTTTAAAAAGTGTAATGATTCTTATTTATTCATTTACTTCAGTTTATGTTAATATTTACTAATGTTTTAAATTGTTTCAGAATGTTATCTTTACCTCACTGAATTTAATTAATCATGAATCAAGTATTTCAAACTTATGTGTGTTTCAGACTAAAAAGTGTTTCAGACTAAAAAGTGTTTCAGACTAAAGACTCTTCTCTTTGAAAAAGAATTCATATAAGTATCATATAATATCTTTTTCATAAAAACCATATTTCATAAAATTTTAAGTTTTTACTAATGTTTTAAATTGTTTCAGAATGTTATCTTTACCTCAGTGAATTTAATTCATCATGAATCAAGTGTTTTAAACTTATGTGTGTTTCAGACTAAAAAGTGTTTCAGACTAAAGACTCTTCTCTTTGAAAAAGAATTCATATAAGTATCATATAATATCTTTTTCATAAAAACTATATTTCATAAAATTTTAAGTTTTTATGTACATGTTCATGAGTCGCTTTAGAATTTAGATGGCTTGAACTGAATCTTTGGGTTTTGAGTTCTTTTTGGCTATAAAGCGATGTATAAATTTCTAATTATTATTATTACTATTATTATTTATTAGTTTACTCATGCGTAACTATCGATAAATGTTCACAGTTATATCTGTAGTTGTTCAAAGCCAGTTAACAAAGTAAAGGCTGTGTCGCAATGGCAAGCTCTTAGAGAAACTTTTAACAATCTTGGACTTCACACAGATATCTGTCCTGCAGCTCCAGGTATATATTATAAGCGAATCTTTGATTTCAATACCATCACTATCCTTCGGGCACTTTCCTTCCGACGAAAATGACCTAAATGCACGATTATTGACAGGTAAATATATTTGCACAAAAATATCAATCACGTTCGCGTTTTAGCACTCCTTCATTTACCAACAATCCAGGGGAAGTTGACATGGTATTTGCTGCCAACTCAGCGATAGTGCTGAACAACAAAGCTCTGATAGCGAAGATGGCAGTGGAGCCACGAAGGACAGAATCTGCGCACTTCGCTAACTGGTTTAGAAACCAGGGGTTCGAAGTGGAGGAACTTGAGAAGATCGTGAGTTATTCAAACCTCGTCATTAATATTCCAACTACCTCACAAGACATATTCAATATTCATGTTCGACATAATTCCGGTGACCTAAATGATTTGGGAACGAAAATATGGGGATTTTTCCGAAAACTGAAAAATTTCGTACCCCAAATTAAATCGTGGTATTTGGGGATTTTTTCCAAAAACCACCAACTTTCGCACCATGTCCATTTTAATATGTCTAGTAAGTTGCAAAAATTTTATATCACATCCAAAAGTTAAAACTCGAGTAAACTGTATGTCTAATATCGACATAACCAAACATTGCTACAGGGTAAACCGTACATGTTCTGCGAGGGTAACGCGGAGTTTAGCCCCACTCATGATCTGTCAAGGTATTTCTTTGGTTGGGGACAGAGAACTGCCGAGAGTTCTTATGAGCTTGTCTTGGACTTTTTCTCTTTGGACAAGAAGGACGCATTTAAAGTTAGACTGATTGACGGTTAGGAAAGTTATTTTTGCATAAGCAACTTTGGACGGCTATAACTACAATTTTAACAAGAATTGCGCCGGTTAGCGGACGCTAGATTTCCATCGCCCGTAATTAATTACAATTAACAATCGTTTCATATTGGTTAAATTACCAAATTTCTTTGGGGCGTTACAGAGAACAAAATGGAGGGGTTGCCGTTGTCAATTATTTGAATCGAAAGTTAAACGACCGGACAACCGTAGCGCAGCCTGTGCGGTGATATGCAATATGCATGATGCAGTTAAAAGGACATCTGTCCGACAGCGACTCTTGTCCGACTCAATATGTTACCAGAAAAAAAAGACATCTGTCCGAAATTGTGATCTAATTGCAATACGACACATTTCCATTTTCCAATTAGAGACATGATCTGAACTGAGATATGACCTGAGCTGAACTCTACCATAGTTTATTTTCATTTAAAGTCAAAAATTGGACAATAGTTTAAATGTTATATAAATAACTGATCTCCATACCGCTCTCCTGTGTGTAATGTAGGCTGTGATGTGATTGGCAGCTTGTTACAGCTTGTTAGTGTACGGCTATAGCATGATCCTGTCCTCAAATAGTCAATCACGTATCGATGGATCAGATCTCAATGGATCAAATCAGCATTATATTAGGACTGTAGGAGCAACGTCACAAGATTACACGTGACTCGTGAACGTAAAGGTACAGAACAAGGTCACCCACTCTCACCTGATCTTTTTAAAGTTTTTCTCAGTGATATGTCCTGCCTCCTAGATTTTCCAAATTGCCCCGTACTTTCAAATTTGACTGTTAGCCACCTACTGTGGGCGGATGACCTTATACTCCTTTCACTCGACCAGGAAACCACTCAAAAGCAACTTAATATTCTCGGTAATTTTTGTAAGGAGTGGGGCATTGAAATCAATGAACTCAAAACTCAAGCAGTCATCTTTGGTAAGAAAACGTTAAAACAGGACACACAAAACATCAAATTTACACTCAACGGATCTAATCTTGAAATTGTTGACAGTTATTGTTACCTTGGATTTGAACTTCATCAATCGGGTCAAGTACAGATCGCTCAACAAAATCTTAAAACCAAAGCAATGCGTGCATTTTTTGGCCTGAAAAGGGTTGTCATGCGTTCAAAGTTATCTTTTAAAGCCTTAGTTGTAGTGAACGTACGGAACGTTCACTAAAAATAGTTTGTGAACGCGTTCGCTAAAAGATTTTAACGTTCGGAACATAAGGAACGTTAATTGCTATAATGAAATTAAAATGCCGGACATAGCCCAATTATCCGGCAAAGTACTAGCGTTTCCATTGCCACTTGCCGACAGGATTTGCCACGTTGTAACAGACAATCCAAATGTCAATAAATCTCTACGACGCTTAATCGAAGCTGATTATGAACACATCATACGATCATGCTGTGTAACCCACCAGTTCGATCTACTTGCCGAGGATGTCGGGAAGTTGAGCTGGACCAAGGAGACATTGTCGAATTGTAACAAAATAGTTACAAATGTGAAGAATCACGACATGATTCTAAAAACGTTAAGAACCCATTCTCTTGTCAATTTGCTAAAACCAGGGGAAACTCGGTTTGCCACCCAGTTTATTATGTTAGAGAGACTGAAGGGTTCCAAGGATACTTTGATTAAGACTTATATTGATCCAACCCTTACTGAGTCTGTTAGCAATAAAAGTAATGCATACAAGAATTTGTTTGAGTGCGCTAAAGATTTAGTGTTTGACCCCCATTTCTGGATAGAAGTCGACTATTTATGCTCAATTCTCGAGCCGATAATGGTCTTGCTTAGATTTTCAGACAATACAGGGTGAGTTGAAAATAGTGTGTGGAAAGTAAATGGCTCTACTTTTTTTGACAAATGAAATTTCCAGTTAACTTTTGCATATTTAGGTAATGAAAATATATACTTTTTATGATAATACAATTAAAATACTTAATGATTAATAATTTGCTCAACCCATCGTCCTTTATTAACTAGGACATATTGATAACGTGTAAGACAATTGTCTATAGCCGACTTGACTGTATTATGGGGGCAGGGGAGTCTTATGGAAATTTTCTCAAAATCGACTTTTTAGTTAGTTGTTTCTGATAGAGGGGAGTAATATCTATCAGATGCTTTTGATGCCGTGGAAAAATATCGTTCCTAGCCGAAATTATTGCCGGTCAAAGGTCAGCGCGTGTGTGGTAATTGTATTGCGCGAGCGATTTTTGATCGCGTGCCCTGAAAATCGAGTCTAAAAATCCATTTTCTCCTACATTTTTTGAGCAATCACCCTGAAACTTTCAGTATATGTTCTAAGGATCATTTAGAAGAGATGAGCCAGACAGAATTTCGAGATAGGCCTTTAAAAAATTTTATTCGATTTTGAAAATCTTGGACCTCGTTTTTTGATGATTTTTTGATTCTTAAGATTCCTGTTGGTTTCATCGGTGTAATTTATTACAAATATTATCTGTTCACCTTAAAGTTAGCAAATTTTGCTTTCCGCAATAGAAACCATAAAAGTGATATGGTTAGTCTTGCCAACAAAAGGTGGCTCGAGCTCCATTCCCCCTACATTCAGTAGGGTTTTGTGCTCACCCGGCTTATCAGGGATATGATCAGCACACGAATCAGGATGTCTGGAAGGAGTTTCTAGATGTCATGGACACGTGGTGTGACGGCGCAACAAAGAAGAAGATAATTTCGCAGTACACGTTCTACCGAGAAAAAAAGAGGCTTATTCTGTACTGACGCTGCCTCAAGTTTTAGCCAAGATTCTGACGATCCAGTCTCTTGGTGGAGCAACTTCGGTTGCGAGGTACCCGAACTACAGAGTTTTGCAATGAAAGCGCTGTCGCAATCGACATCAGCCTCATGTCACCCTGTGAGACGAATTGGAGCTTGTACGACTGGGTGATAAACAAAAAAAGAAACCGCCTCACAGTTGACAAGCAGCGAGACCTTATTTATGTTAACGCAAGTTTGCGTCTTATGAACAATTCACGAATTAAGGAGCAATAATTTCATTACTATTTGCTATACTAGTGACTTATTTTTATTCATTATTGTTTATTTACTGTCTAATTCCGACAACATGGTTTTATCTCATTGTACGACTAAGTTCAGCGTTCACTACAACTAAGATCAGAATTAAGCAATAGCTAAGGTTCATGATACAATCTAAATTTTGGGTTGGTTTTTTGCGAACATTTGACTTTATAATGAATTTACGTTTACCTGATATGGTTAGGAGTTGGCTGGTGGCCATGATGGTATCAAAGGATGAGGAAAGATTAGTTGGTGCACAACTTGATGAAAAACGATATTTTCTGGCAACTGATTTATGGGCATTGTCTCTTACTTTTATATTCGTGTGCTGCCAAGTGTTTTATCTTTTAATTTGCTAGCCAGATAAAATTATTGATTGAAATTCCCATTGAGCAGTGAGCACGATTGAAATGATTCAAATTATAATCGTTAAATGCACAATTTTCCTCTGTACTCCTGTAACTCTTTCTTAAAATGAAACAATTGCCGTAATTAAAATCGTTCTACAAAGAGCGGTACGGACCACTTACGTTTCAAATGAATTCAAATTTTTCGTTAAATCACCCTTGTTAAATATCTTTGGCACTATCTTACTATATACTTACTATATACCGCCCACTTGCACTGGTCGGAGATTTATGGGTTTCGGCTCTCTGGAAAGAATTAAATTTTTATTTAAATAACCCGCAAGGGAGGGTTGCATCTGTCACAATGTAATTACGCCATTAATTGTATAATATTTAGTTTCAAACAACTCCGTCGTAACTTTATTTATTGCACGCGACTTAGTTTGAAGAAATGGAGTGACCTGTAACAGTGTAACCGGGCGAGGGGTTCTCCCCGAAATCAACCATAAATTTGACTTTGGGTATGTTGAAAACATATTAAAAACACATGCTGTACGACCTCTTATAAAATTTCAACCTCAGGGAGAGTTCATAGTGCACCCTAATGTTAAATATCTCAACTTCAAGGAGAGTTCATAGCGCACCCTAATGTTAAATATTTCAACCTCAGGGAGAGTTCATAATCATAGCGCACCCTAACGTTAAATATCTCAACCTCAAGGAGAGTTCATAGCGCACCCTAACGTTAAATATCTCAACCTCAAGGAGAGTTCATAGTGCACCCTAACGTTAAATATCTCAACCTCAGGGAGAGTTCATAGCGCACCCTAACGTTAAATATCTCAACCTCAAAGAGAGTTCATAGCGCACCCTAACGTTGAATATCTCAACTTCAGAGAGAGTTCATAGCGCACCCTAACGTTAAATATCTCAACCTCAAAGAGAGTTCATAGTGCACCCTAACGTAAAATATCTCAACTTCAAGGAGAGTTCATAGCGCACCCTAACGTTAAATATCTCAACCTCAGGGAGAGTTCATAGCGCACCCTAACGTTAAATATCTCAACCTCAAAGAGAGTTCATAGCGCACCCTAACGTTAAATATCTCAACCTCAGGGAGAGTTCATAGCGCACCCTAACGTTAAATATCTCAACCTCAGGGAGAGTTCATAGCGCACCCCAACGTTAAATATCTCAACCTCAAAGAGAGTTCATAGCGCACCCTAACGTTGAATATCTCAACTTCAGGGAGAGTTCATAGCGCACCCTAACGTTAAATATCTCAACCTCAAAGAGAGTTCATAGCGCACCCTAACGTAAAATATCTCAACTTCAGGGAGAGTTCATAGCGCACCCTAACGTTGACAGCATCACAAAATATTGACTAACGTTCACTAACGTTCACAAACGTTCGCGTTCACTACAAAATGATTGGAACGTACGTTCAGTACGACTAAGTTCAGCGTTCACTACAACTAAGTTTAAAGCACTCCTTACACTGTTCGACTCTCTCATCAAGCCCATTCTATTATATGGTGCTCCGATATGGACACCCACTAGTACGATCAATAAATCTCTTTGCAAAACGATTAACTCGACAGAAGCAACCGCTACTAACTTACTTAAAAAAATCAGCGCCTCTCTGCAAGAAAGAGTGCATATTTCATTCCTAAAATGGGCATTGGGAGTCCATCGTAAAGCATCAAATGTAGGTGTTTGGGGAGAAACAGGAAGAATTCCTTTGATTTATCAATCAATTCGCTTAACGTTAAATTACTTCAAAAGGCTAAATACAAAATCAAAGTCGAATTCGTTTGTCACTGCAGCCGTAAAAGAACAAAAATCACTAAACTTACCTTGGTATCGATACATAAAACCACTCCTTGAACTAGATGAAATTTACAAACTAGATCACGTAACTGCGCACCGAATTCTCAATACAAATGCAGCTAACAAAGCCGCGCCCAACCCTGTAAGTGATCACAAATTATTAAAAGACTCCCTCATAAATCAGTCAAATTTTAGTCAATCCATCAAACCACTATGCAGCAAAAAGTATAGAATTCCTAAAATCATCGAAGCTCTAACCAATCAATTCAAAAAATGTTGGCAATATCAAAAATCTACTTCTTCTAAACTCTCATTCTATCACTCAATCAAACACACCTTCAACCGAGAGCCCTACTTATACTTATGCAAAGGCTTTTCTCGTCGTTACAGTACCACAAAACTTAGAATCAGCGCACATGATCTCCATATTGAAAGAGGCAGATACTCCAACACACCCCGTGAGCAAAGACTATGTGGTTGGTGCCAATCAAGTATGGGCGTTGAGACCATCGAAGACGAGTCGCATGTTCTTTACATATGTGACTTGTATTCAAAACAGAGGTCGAAATTAGTCAAAAATCTTTCTCAAATGCCAATCATTGAAATAAGCAATGAAATCACCGACTCCAGCAATATCAATGAAACAAATCTCAAAGATCATCTCATGGAAATTTTGTCTCCTTACTCAACTGTAATTCCTCAAAATCACCAGAGCCTCCATATTCACTGCCACCGCTCACTTGATATTCAACCAAACACCCCACAGTATACTCAATTTCAAGAAAGGCGCTCCTATGCTGTCAATTGTGTGTGCACTTTTTTCCTTCGCTGCTCCGAAGAGCGAAATAGCTTCACCGAAGATACGCGTCAGCGTAATTCAAATGCACGAAACTTAAACAATTTTACTATCAATTTGGTGAGAACCTCGCGAATTAGTCATAATTAAGACTCAAGGATAACCCTGGCCCTGACTTCAAGCAAAGATGATTGTTTTCATTAACTTCTGTAAACAATTATGACGGTCCATGATAATGGATCTATAATTTAATTTTAATCCTGTGTAATCCTGTGTAATCCAATCCTGTGTAATCCGTGAGCTTGTGAAATACGAACGTGATCCGAAATTGGAAATGTGATCCGAAAGTTGGACAGATGTCGCCAAAAACGACTCCTATCTGACAGCGACTCTTGTCCGAAACCGGTAATTCGACTGTCGGACAGATGTCACCCAATCAAATCTGTGGTAGTTAATACAATGTGAATCATAATAAAATGTATCGTTCATTTCGTCTAAATATAATGAATCAATCTATTGGCAATCATGTTCAACATGATAGTCATAACATCATAATTTATACAACAGCATAACGGATTACTAATATCGGGTTGCACCAAGCACCCACAAAAAAATGAGAAGTTTGTATCGCATGAAGTTAACGAAAGCTTAAACGACAAATATCAATGCGAATCAAAATGTATAATAGCGAAAAGAGATATACATGCGCGACGACACGATTTATTAGCTCGATTCTTGGTATAGAGTACACCTTGACATAAAAGCATTGTAAAATGCGCGCGCGACCATCAAGTGATAATTTGTAAAGGAGCACGTGTTTGCGGAGGTTAATGCATGTTTTGCTTTGTGACACGACGAAAAACCTATACCCACTGTACCCATTCTCAAATCCTACCACTTCTAACCATCTATTGCCTTTTTAGGCGATGGAAAAAATGTTGTCCTTACAATAGCCAATAACGACGGTATGTACTAGTCGTGTTGGTTACTAGCATTACTACTTTACTATAGAGAGTCAGAGACGTTTAGTAGAGAGTGACGAATAATTGTCATAATATTTCCAGGTGGATTCTTTCTCAGTATCACCTTGATAACAAAGGCAACATGTAGATTGTAGGTGTTGCAATATTTTGTAAATAGTGTGAACTGCGATTCTGCACCTGGCCAAAACGTTTTATGTGCAGCAAAGTTGCTTGTTGACAATTAATTCTATTATGTACAGTAATAGTATCCATCGAACAACATAATTTTAACGGGATCACTTCAAATTTTTTCCCAGAAACAGTATTATGTAGACTTAAAATTCTTCAATTAAACTCTGTTGGAAGCAAATCTAAATTACAAAAGTGGAACTGAGTCGGAAGCTAATCTAAATTACAAAAGCTAATCTAAATTTATCTTCGTGAATGTCTTTTTATCCAATCGCAGTTCTTTTGTCAAACAGTACGTGTCGAACTAGAATTCAGGTAGCGAAATGAGGTTCTACAGTTTTGTCGAACTTCAGTGTGTGTCGAACTACAGTCCAAGGTAGCGCAATAAAGTTCGACAGAGTCGAACTTTAGGGTTTATCGAACTACAGTACGTGTGTACCCTGGCGATGAGCAGATTGAAATTGAGTCACTTTATTTTAGTTCCGTTGGTCGACACAGAATCTTTAGGTGTATAAGCGACTTACAGTTACACTGACACAGAATGTGTTGGACCCTTGTGACTAAAATAAAGTGACTCAATTTCAATCTGTTGAGGTTGCGATCAGCTTGATAAGTTGTTCATATGCCAAGATTCGCCATCTTTTGTTTAATAAAAAGATGTGTGCCCCTAACCATAGTTATGGGCATGTCAATATTTTCTCACTGTATACAGCGATGTCAAATTGACGTACACAAATCTGATAAAACGAACAACAGCCGATGGTGCAAAAAAGTGCGGTGATAGATCAATAGTGCAATTCCGCACTTTCGAATTGCCTCTGCTTGATAATCGTCATATTTACAGAGAGATTCTATCGGTTATCAGTATCACCTAATTAATAATTACCTTAATAATGGTCATATCTACAGAGAGATTCTATCAGTTATCAGAATCACCTAATTAATAATCGTCCGCGTATTTTCAGAGAGATTTTATCACCTGGATGTTAGCATGTTGCCTCTGCTTGATAATCGTCATATTTTCAGATAGATTCTATCGGTTATCAGTAACACCTAATTAATAATTACCTTAGTAATCGGCATATTTTCAGATAGATTCTATCGGTTATCAGTAACACCTAATTAATCATTACCTTAGTAATCGGCATATTTTCAGAGAGATTCTATCGGTTATCAGTATCACTTAATTAATAATTACCTTAATAATGGTCATATTTTCAGAGAGATTCTATCAGTTATCAGAATCACCTACTTAATAATCGTCGTATTTTCAGAGAGATTCTATCACCTGGATGTTAGCATGGCACCACTGTCTCTAGGACATGTTATGCTCTACCCGGGAGCATTTGACGAAGCATCCCTGAAGAACGTATATGACGCTCTAGGTAATTAACAGTCACATGATCAATCAAGCCTTTTTACTTTTAGCTATTGGAGCCCGAGTTGGAGTATCTTTACCGTTTTATTTAGTGGTGGATGTTTGACCGTCGGCCAGTTCGAAGCGGATCCGCATTGCAGAACCTTCGAATCTATTTATCGCTGTAACGAGGTTTGATCGTCATCTTCGTACAGCGTTCGATGTCTGTCTGAAGGTAAAATGGTGACATCCTCTGTATCAGGCAGAGGTCGAGTGTTAGCCGCAACTAAATTATTCTAGATTCCTCTCGAATAATTTTAAAGATTTTATGTCAATTTATTATCGAAGAAAAAGACGATTTATGAAGGAGCAACCCTGCATTGTACCTAATAAAAATTTCTCGAGATGTCCACTTCATGATGCTGCTCTACCACTTTAACTTATGTCCTTTAAGCGCTTTTAACTATCGTTCACCGAACCTTGACTTTGGCTTTGTTAACAATAACAAGTTTTGGCCGGTAGAGGGTCCACAGTAGTCCCATTACCTTAGTATTGCTGTACAACTTCTACATATTGATACATATCGCTGTATTTGGACATGAAACAGCTATGTAAGCCCTATAAAACATAGCTTTTATAACTATATCCAATAACCCAGGTAGTAGAGATAAAGTGATCGAGCTAACTTTGGAGGAGGGTCTCCAGTTTTCCTGCAACTGTGTATCCTTTATCAGCAACGACCTGGAAGCAGTTGTAGTTGCTCCACATTTCAGTGACAGACTCGGAAATGTTTTACAAGACCTAGGGTTTGTGAAAACTACGTATTTTGTTTGATCTGAATCTGATATAAAATTACGATTATAGGGATGGAAAATGTTAAAATTAAAACGTAGCTTACTTTTACTACCACAAATCGAAATGATTGCGCCAATTTATTCCATGATAATAACTGTAATTTTCCCGAATGACTAAAAAGAACCTCACGCCACAGGTACAAATGTGTACAAATAGATTACGATCAGTTTCTGCTCAGTGGAGGTGCAGTGAGATGCTGTGTGGTTGACATCGCTCAGACAAGAGATGTGTAAATCATAAAACACCTGGAGTAGCTTTACAAGGACGCTTGTGACGGATGAAACGAATCCAGGGAAGTTGTTTGAGTATTTAACACCATACCACCAAACATCTCATCATGTCATGAAGAGTGAAGAGCAGGAGACCATTGCTTGTTAGTGAACATTGGTTAGAGAAAATAACGAACACATATCATATATATAAATAATATCATACATTATATACTACAACCATACTTCATAACATTCTAAGTTCTTATGTACATGTTCATGAGTCGCTTTAGATGGCTTGAACTGAATCTTTGGATTTTGAGTTCTTTTTGGCTATAAAGCGATGTATGAATTTCTAGTTATTATTATTATTATTATATTGAATCTAAGTATCATATTATCAGTAAATATCAGATATATAAATTCAGTATAGGGGCATATATTTTTAGTATAGGGGCATTATTATCAACAGTTACATTGTTTATTAATTATTTCATATGTTTATTTCAATTTGACAGATTTTAATAATTTTATCATGAATATTTTTGATTTAAAACAAAAGAATTTGTTTCAATTTCGCCATTGAAGTTGGCTTCAGCCGCTTATTTATTGTAACTCTGGAGATTTCAATATTCAAATTCGTATTTTTCTTTTTCGTACGATAAAGATGAAATAAGATTTTAGATAGTTGATGATTATTCGATTGATTTTATGAGTGAAGTTAGAATCTGATTACAGAACTGAATTCAATACTGAGAGAAGGTCCCATATAGGGGCCCTATTAAAGGCCCTATTAGGGGCCCTATTAGGGGCCTATTAAAGGCCCTATTAAAGGCCCTATTTATACGCTCTTGCTTGGAATCACTACTCGATCCAAAAATGTTTATCACTAGTAGCTTAGTAGGGTGTCCTGATCATTAGGCAGATAATTAATTTTTTATTTTGCCACATACAGTTACAAGCCGTGACGCTGCGTTAAGAACTACTATTTTTAAATTTAACTTTAAGAACTTTATTGACAGATGAAATTTCCAGTTTTTGTACACTGAAGGAGTTTTTAGACAAGCCTGACATCTCGCCAAGTGGGGCAGCAGTGGTCTAGACACATATATTTACTGTCTGAGCTGTATCAAGGCTCTGAACAATTCTACAAAAATGTGATTGTTAAATGTTAGCTTATGCCTGATAAGTTTATGATAGAGTAATAGGCTTATAGAATCAGATTTCTGAATAACAAAGAATCCGGAAAAGTATTCAACTTCAAGTGGCTTAAAAGAAAAATACCAGCGCTAAGATCCGAGATCGAATTTCGGCGGGCTTCCAAACTTGGTCAGGATTGTACATTGAAATTAAGTTCTAATATTACAGAGGTATTTTCATAATAGAGTAAGGATTCTCTCATCTCGTGTGTTATACTAGGTAATATGCTATTACGTTTTTACCGACGCGACATACCTAAAGTTAAACCTTTCTGTTTAACATTTGATTAAATAACTGTTTTTAAACATTGTTAGTTGGAAGTTGATATATTCAAATTTATATTCAAATTTCTGTTAAAGTTCAGATTATTCATGCATTTTGCGTATTTGCATACACTCAATTTGTAAATTCCATCCATATTTCGTCGTATATAAAGATAATCGCTTTGTTTGCTATCCTTTTTGAGCTTGTTGAACTTGATCCTTGCTGAGTCATGTCAGTTTGTGGAAGTTTCCGGTCGGATATTAGCGCTTACACACTAATGTCCGTCCGAATTACCTTATCGGACCTTATTTGAACAGACATTATGTGAACAGACATAATGTTGAACGGACATTAAAATGAACGCTCGAAGGACTTCAAAACCATTAAAAATCCGCATTTATTCATCTTCCCCAAATACATTTTGAGAATTATCTATAATGGAGGAATCTAAAATATTTCGCATACAACGTCTGCTTTTAAAGTTTTAACAAATCCTCATAAGCTACTAACGTAATTTTAAATGGGCACGATCCCAAACTGGACTTATCTTGTATCTGTGTATTTTAAACTATGAAAATAACTTCTGTAACCAGGACTAGTAGTACTACTAGTACTATTTACTGCTAGTACCTGTACAGTAAAACATCGCGAGGGACAGAATAATGTTTACCAAAAAACCGCGTCACAGCCAGGTCCGTTATTATAGCGAGCGAGGTTGATAATTGGGGCGCATTATTGATATCGCTTGTAATCTCTACTGTAATTCAAAGAATTATTTTTGTATGTATGTATGTACGACCGCCCACGTGCAAAACAAACGAAAAATATGAACTTGCGTAGTAACCATGGTAACGAGGGTTGTTACACGCACGTGCACGTGCAAAGATTGTTAAAACGGCATTTTTTATCGGTTTTGTTGATATTACGTTGTGTTTAGTGCGAGCAACATTTTAATCGGCTGTATCTTCGGTTTGTTTAGGATATTTTTTGACGCGATTTAAACTTACTAACAAAAAATACTATTAGATTCCTCCCTGTGACCACGGGTTTTTTATTTGTATTATAAGCAGTTGAGGGGGACAATTTACCCAAAACTGCGTTATACTTATAACGAGGTCCGTGTTATATTAAAGCAGGCTATATACCCGCTAAGCTCTATTAGTATTAGCTGAGATTTTCACATAAAATAACTTCACTCGATTAAATTGTTTTTATTTTTAATGAGTCATTCACTTACAATCCAAGTTTGAAGTTAAGGACATGACAAATCTCGCTGTCAGATCTTGGAAGCGGTTGATGATGTGCCAACCCACTTCCTTTGACGTAATACACCAGGTGAGAGTCTGATCTCATCGATCCTGAGAACAAATTTACTGAAATACTTAATCATATTCATAAATACTGACTGTGCAAAATTATTCACCAAAATTGTATTCTGCCAAATATTTGAAAAGTAACAACGAAATACATTTTCTGGTTAGCTCGTCAGTCGTCTCACGTGAACTTATATTTGCAGGGGCATAACGCGTACATGACAATGGATTCACCAGTGGATAGGGCTCTTGCTATGAAACAGTGGGAGGGAGTCAAATCAACATTTGAGTCTATCGGAGTGGAGGTACAATCACATTAAACATTTTTTCACTAACCATTATGGCACTACAAACAAACACGGTCAGATCACTTGGGTAACTTCCAAGAACGGTTAACTTTCAACAAAATTGTGTCTTGTTCCCTCTCAATTCTGTCCTGTACTTACCTTAAAAGAAATATTTCCTCTACTTCCATACTAATGATCTTGTTGTATGATGATGCAACAAATGCGTCACAAAGCCGTCTCAGCCACCCTGCACTGCCTAGGTGGAGGTTATAAAGAACATGCCGGGTCAGGTTGACCAGGTTTTCTGTGCTAATTGTGCTCTGGTCTGGGGAGGGAAAGCTCTTATTTCAAACATGTTCAACCCGCCACGCAGAGCTGAGTCAGAGCCCACAATAGAGTGGTTTAAGGAAAGGAACTTCGAGGTAAGTGGTGGAAACCGCTGTCGGCTGTCGGGAAGTCATGACCCGCATTGACATTAATAAAGTAAATTATTAGTTTTTATCAAACATCATTCAATTAATAATAAATTGAATATTGTTATCCCTTAGTCTCTTCTTGACTTCTTGCAGCACAGCAATCATATTGAAATAATCACAGAACGTTCCAATTATCTTACTGACCTGGACCAGACTAAAATTATTGCAGGTATACGATTCTCGACCTCATGGTTTGAACCTGGAGGGATGTGGTGATTTTGCTTACAACTACAACAGAAAACATGCTTACTTAGGATACGGATTCAGGTAGACTTTTCTTGCGTGTGAATATGAATTGTCATCGTCAATATGTCTCCACACCCAAAATTAGAAACTCTTGATCGCCGACGGTACCAACCTTACTCTCATAATCATGAATGAATTACCTTATGTTCCTGCCAAATCGACTGTCGCAGCACGTAATGTACAATTAATGATGACTTGAATGTTTGAGCACGAAAAACACAGCAAGCAATACCAATATTGTCTTTCGTTAATACCAGGCGGCATCAGCACCTTCTTCTATAAATCTATATTTTATTGGCAAAAAAAGAACACAATTGCCGGTCTAACTATACACTAACTATAACATTAACTATCAGATCAGATAAAGAATCCTACGACCTAGTAAAGGACGTTATCGACTTCACAGGAACGGAGTTTCACAGCCTGCACCTAGTCTCCGAGTTGTGTTATCATCTTGATACAGCCATGTTGAGCCTGTCTCAGGGCCATGTTCTAGTGTTCCCTCCGGCATTTGATACACACTCCTTCAATCTTATCAAGTGAGCATGTTACAGCTGTGGTTATCTTGAACCGTTTGGGTGATCTTTGAATTTTATGAGTTTAAAGCAAACAGCACTTAACTGCACCCGGCAATTGTCTAAGAGACTGGCTGAAGCAATATTATAACGATATCTTACACTCTAACAGTAACGTGTATAAAAAGTTTATTTCCCCAGAGAAGTGAACGGGGCAGATAACATTATAGAGATATCAGAAGAGGATTGTGTGGACAACTTTGTACCAAACGCTATTCCTGTCCACGGTTAGATCCTTTATCAGCTGTTTAAGCAGTGTTAATTGTACTTGTTGGTCGTTTCTGATACCATGTGCCAACACTTAACCTGTTATTAAAATGAGTATAACCATGCTACAAAGCTTCCACATAACGTTACATTAGCCTGGCATCTTGCCTGAAAACTTAATACTTGTTCATTCGTGTAGCCAGCCAAAAACGCAAACAAATTCCGGAAATTGCAGCTAGTTCATGTAACACACTAAACTAGCTACCCAGTTACCATAGTTACCATAGTTACCATAGTTACCATAGTTACCATAGTTACCATAGTTACCATAGTTACCATAGTTACCATAGTTACCATAGTTACCATAGTTACCATAGTTACCATAGTTACCATAGTTACCATAGTTACCATAGTTACCATAGTTACCAGTAACTACTGACAATCCTGACTATCTCCTCTCCCCTGCCAGATGGAGACAAGCACTATGTAGTTGGGATGGCATTCTCTCCGGAACTGCACAAGAAGTTAACAGATCTTGGTTACGAGATTCTAATCACCCCTTACCAGGAGTTCCGTAAAAGTGGTGGCAGTATCAGGTGCTCTGTTCTCGATATTGGTATTTAGAAGGAGGGATACTGTAAAAGTGGTGGCAGTATCAGGTGCTCTGTTCTCGATATTGGTATTTAGAAGGAGGGATACTGTAAAAGTGGTGGCAGTATCAGGTGCTCTGTTCTCGATATTGGTATTTAGAAGGAGGGATACTGTAAAAGTGGTGGCAGTATCAGGTGCTCTGTTCTCGATATTGGTATTTAGAAGGAGGGATACTGTAAAAGTGGTGGCAGTATCAGGTGCTCTGTTCTCGATATTGGTATTTAGAAGGAGGGATACTGTAAAAGTGGTGGCAGTATCAGGTGCTCTGTTCTCGATATTGGTATTTAGAAGGAGGGATACTGTAAAAGTGGTGGCAGTATCAGGTGCTCTGTTCTCGATATTGGTATTTAGAAGGAGGGATACTGTAAAAGTGGTGGCAGTATCAGGTGCTCTGTTCTCGATATTGGTATTTAGAAGGAGGGATACTGTAAAAGTGGTGGCAGTATCAGGTGCTCTGTTCTCGATATTGGTATTTAGAAGGAGGGATACTGTAAAAGTGGTGGCAGTATCAGGTGCTCTGTTCTCGATATTGGTATTTAGAAGGAGGGATACTGTAAAAGTGGTGGCAGTATCAGGTGCTCTGTTCTCGATATTGGTATCTAGAAGGAGGGATACTGTAAAAGTGGTGGCAGTATCAGGTGCTCTGTTCTCGATATTGGTATTTAGAAAGAGGGATACTGTTTGTGGTGGCAGTATCAGGTGCTCTGTTCTCGATATTGGTATTTAGAAGGAGGGATACTGTAAAAGTGGTGGCAGTATCAGGTGCTCTGTTCTCGATATTGGTATCTAGAAGGAGGGATACTGTAAAAGTGGTGGTAGTATCAGGTGCTCTGTTCTCGATATTGGTATTTAGAAAGAGGGATACTGTTTGTGGTGGCAGTATCAGGTGCTCTGTTCTCGATATTGGTATTTAGAAAGAGGGATGCTGTAAAAGTGGTGGCAGTATCAGAGTATCAGGTGCTCTGTTCTCGATATTGGTATTTAGAAGGAGGGATACCGTAAAAGTGGTGGCAGTATCAGGTGCTCTGTTCTCGATATTGGTATTTAGAAGGAGGGATACTGTAAAAGTGGTGGCAGTATCAGGTGCTCTGTTCTCGATATTGGTATTTAGAAGGAGGGATACCGTAAAAGTGGTGGCAGTATCAGGTGCTCTGTTCTCGATATTGGTATCTAGAAGGAGGGATACCGTAAAAGTGGTGGCAGTATCAGGTGCTCTGTTCTCGATATTGGTATTTAGAAGGAGGGATACTGTTTTTGATTGGGGCTAGTAATATAGTTGAGGGCACTGACTCTGGACACACTAGTGGAGCGTGGATAATTATGTGGATATTATTCCAGTAAATCATTTTACTCTTGATTACTCTTTTATTGGGTATTTTATTTTAGTTGAATTGTAGGCAACTTTACATTATTCTGTTAGTGTTATGAGAACATGCTAATAATTATTTCAGCTATGAAATGCGTTTATAAATGCCATGATATTATCTGTTTTGTGTATAAATAAATAGCGTGCTTTTGTTAAATAAAATAGATACGGATATATTTTACCAATAAATAAACCACAACATAAGCTGGTTATAAACCCATACATCCAACACAACATATCTCTTACTAAGTTATACAAACCTATCTTATTAAACGTAAATCCAATCAACTCAATCAAAAGGTGAAAAATATTTGGTCCAATTTCAGGGTCTTGTTGGTAAAAGTCTTGGAGATTCTTAGATTGGACAGTTTATACACCGAATTTGGTTCGAAATACAGGAAAAAAAGAAACGAATAAAAAGGGACATGGTCTCAAGAATTTAAAGTTCAAGAAAGAAAGAGACTTTGAATCTCCTGTAGAATATCCTGGTTAATACCAAAAGAAACAATCCCAATTCCCATTTCACACTTCCTTTAGCAGTTACAAATTTTACCAAGTTTGACTCAAATAGTATTTCGATGGTAGAAATTAGGTTCAAAGTTTACTGTTAAGAGATAGTACATTTTGGCTTATTATCAAAAATTATGAACAGGAAATTAAAAAGAATAACTTAATCTAGTTTAAATATTAACAATCTCCATTTAAAATTGTAATAGTCATATTATGGGCATGTCTTAAGTCTTTATTAAGAAACTGTAGTTTGTCGAGTAACATTCAATGACACTGTGAGTATTCAGTAAACCAAAAATCCGTCAAAATATTCAAAATAAAATTTAAAATTCGAACATCATTCATAATACACGAACAAAATAAAATTGAATTGACATAATTTAAATCTAGATACACACGATCACCCAGCAGCTATAGTCCTATGCTGTCTCAGTTTCGACTTGGTTGCCATATAAACGTACATCCAGAGCGTGTACACGTACGAAAATACACTTCTCAGCGATCTTATTATCACCTGAAATGGAGAGTTGATGAGATAAGACAATTTTGTAACTTTTTAAGTATATTCAAGAAGCAGATATCTCAACGCAGAATAGGATCTGTTTCAAAATATTAGTCGACCTCGATACTAGCTTTTGAACAGCAAGTCTACTTAAGAAACTTTATATCTAGAGTCAATTATAGAAGAAGTTTTCGTCGTTTTAATTAGTCGTTTTGGTTGTTATAAATTCAATGTATCCCGCATGGTAAATCATTTCCTCAGCCAACAATATTCTAGACCACGGGGTCAAACGGTCACAAGATTAATTTGACGAGGCAGGTGTATTGTACATAACTAACTATAAGGTAATTGATTATAAGGCCATGTATTAGGTCACAAGGTCAAGTATACTAGGTTTCTCAAATTAATCTTACAGACGTCGAAATATTGAAAGATGTTTGAGATTTAATATGATACTTATATTTGGAGACCACCAGCACCTCCGCTATCTATTTAGAGGCCCGGGGTCCAATGAGACAACACTTTGATCTCGCTAAGGTTGACACTTCTTCACTAAACAAACTTTACTTTAGTTTGTGAGAACTCATTTGTACGTGGCCAATATGTTGTTATCACATTTATTATATAGAATAATATATAGAATAGATTCTTTAATGATATTACCAATACCATTATTATTATTATCTAAATCAGTATAAGATGAAGGACACGTACGATCTCTTATCTTATTATACTATTATTATACTTTATGTTATAGTCAAGCTCTCAGACTAGTGTTCAGTATTCCTAGTATTTTAGAGTCGGGTATTAATGTTAGGACCGAGACGGTCGAATTTTTGTACGAGATTGATAAATTTATAATGCTAACTATTAAATTATAACGCAAAGAACCGATTACAAGTTTGAAGCATCACTAAATGCCATCGCGACCACATGACTCCCTCTGTTATAATGCACGATAGTATTCTACAATCAGGTACGGACTAATGCCACTAAACCATTATAAAGGACAATCACAGCTCAGTATGTGGTTTTTTGGCGTTCCAGAAAGTTCTTTTAGTCTTTATCGATGCTGCACAGCGTAGTGAGGCTGCAGACGTGACCACTTGACTAGCTGGATTTGTACCATCCCCTAATTTTGTGCTCTGACGCAGAGACGAACGGCAAAATTAGAAATAAAAGGGCAATGAAAGCATTCTACGACATAATATTATAAAGATTCATTGAATCCTCGCTGATCGTTTGACTGCCCAGGAAAACCCATTTCAAAAGGGTGTTATTATCATACCTTTGTAAATCTGCCATTTCGACCGCCGGCCCTACCCAGGTTAACGGCAACAAAGGAAGAGTAAATGTGCCAAGAAGGTGGCTAATAGCCAAGAAGATGCGTTCCACCGGGTTTTAAATTTAAAATTCGGGACACGTTAAATGTTACAGCCAGAAAGAAGCGACTTTACAATTATTGTTTGTCTGTACTCTGCTGAGATATATGGCGAAAGCGGCTGATAGGATTGCATTTAAAGGCTAAGATACGCCCGATTTCCTATGATTTCCCATTTGCCTATTCAGCATTTGCTGCTTGGAATTTATTTACAATCAACTTAGATAAAGTTGATCTATCCAGTTAAATATACAAACGTAATTAAATATAGGACTTGTTGGAGATGCGGTAGTGTCAAAAATTGGATTCTTGCGATTGTCTTAAGAAGCTGGACCTACTGTCCCACTCCCTGCAGAGGCGGAGAGAGCGATATATCCTGATCCATACATCGTCACCTATAAATTAAAATAGAAAAGGCTTATGTCGAAAAAAGTCGTTTTGAGATAATGCATAAAAACCTATTTATGGAAATTAACTTTAGGATAGGCATTTGAATTTGATTTCTATGTATCCTAAATGGAAAGAATGACTGGCCGACACTCTGAAAATGTTCCTGAAGCTTTTCAATTAATTGGGGTAGTTGATTTAATTTTGACATATGCCCATTAAAAAAAACATGTGATACATAGGCCCCTCTTAATTAATTGAAACATCTAACATGTGAGAATTGGTACAGGGCGGTAATCGTACTGTAGTGCGACACGCACTCTAGTGCGACACGCACTCTAGTGCGACACGTACTCTAGTGTGAAGTCCGACAAAAAAAACCCTCTGTCGCACTACAGTACGTGTCGCACTACGATCCAGGTAGCGTACTCTAGTGCGACAAAATATCCTGACTTATTTCCAAGTTGAGGTCACATCCTATCCTTCTTATGGACCATTAAGTGATTCGTCGGGTCGGTTCACGTCACTTATTGCGAAGTGATCTTGCGAATACGATTCGTTGGTTCATATCACATGTTTCGAAGTGATCCACTGATCATAATTCCTTCGGGTCAGTTCAAGCCACGTATGCAGTGTGTGATCCACTGGGTAACTCGTCAGCAGCATATTATCCTCATTCCTATCACACGCACCGTATGAAGGTATGTATATCTCCAAGATTGGGCGACATCTGTCCGACAGCGACATCTGTCCGAAAGCTGAATTAGGGATTTCGGACAGATGTCGCTGTCGGACAGGAGTCGTTTTTGGCGACATCTGTCCGAATTTCGGATCATATTGTAATTTCGGTTCACATTCGTATTTCACAAGCTCACGGGTAATCTCGTGACGTTCTAAAGCTGATGTGATCCCTTAAGATCTGATCCATCGATACGTGATTGACTAGTTGAGAACAGGATCGTGCTAGCCGTACCCTAACAAGCTGTCGATCACATCACAGGACATGAATACATATAGGACAGCAGTATGGAGATCACTTATCGCAATCCACAATGGCAACCAATCTTCAGTTTATCCCTGGACGCAAACAAGGCTCGGAGAACCCTGTCCTAAATGGCTTCAGACACGCCTTCCTGGAAAAACGACGACCCTCTACCGCAACCTGTTCGAGGAGATAGACACCTGGGCTTCTGGGGGCTACCAACCACAATCCATCCTCATGGACTACGAGCTCGCCATTCACAACGCAGTTGCTTCCGTGTGGCCCTCCACTACCAGAAGCGGATGTAACTTCCACTACAAGAAAGCCCTCCTGAAGCATGTTAAGCAGACCAACATCTGGGAGGAGTACCTGACTCCAAACTCTCCTGTTCGGGATTTCTTCGCGATGACCGGAGCGATTGCCTACGTACCGGAGACTGACGTCCCTCGAATCTGGAGACACGAAAACACTTGGATCGGGACATCAACCACCAATCCTAACTTCGCTCCCCACATGTGGAATCAACACGAAGCTGCACAGATGAGGATTCCTCGCTCATCCAACATCGCAGAAGGTTGGCATCACGGATTCCATTCAATGCTGTCCTGCTCGAAGCCCTCAATTTGGAAGTTCCTTGATTGCCTTAAAGCAGAACAAGCCCTTACAGACGTGAAGAAAACCAAAAGAGACGGGCGGGAATTGCCTGAGCCTCGTGCACCCAAATGGATCCGTTATGATTGTAGATGATTTGTAGATGATTTGGTAGTAAACTATGGCTCAGATCATATCTCAAATTGGACATGTTACGTATACAATTTAGCAAGTAACAGTTTAGATCATGTCTCTAATTGGAAATGTGTCGTATTGAAATCAGGTCACAATTTCGGACAGATGTCGTTTTTTTCTGGTACCCTGATTCGGACAGATGTCGCTGTCGGACAGATGTCGCTGTCGGACAGGAGTCGTGTTACCTATCTCCAATTGGGATAACAAGTTCATATGCTTGGGCCAATTTTTATTGAATGTGTAAAGTGTTTCGTCGCACTTTAGTTCGTGTCGCACTACAGTCCAGGTAGCGCACTGTAGTGCGACAGTGTCGGCCTTGAAAATTCTCTGTCGCACTAGAGTACGTGTCGCACTACAGTACGTGACCCGTACAGGGCTTATGTGTACATAGGTCCTTTTAACTTTCAAATTTATATCTTTGAACATCACATTCCAATAATTTGTTTGGGCATATGTTGACTTAGGCCCTTTCTACCTAAGTCAACATATGCCCAAATACCTTACTGCAGTGAGACTATGGATTATGGAACCTTTTCCCACGACAAGTGAAGAGCCTAATTGCGAGTATCACTTGATGCCTCGTGTCCATGCTGTTGATATGTTAAAGTGAATATAATGAAATCCGCCCTCGTGTCCACCATTTTAGGAAAGTCCTCGTGTCCTACGCCCTCGTGTTCTCCGCCTATGTGTCCTCCTCCCTCGGGTCCGGTTCCCAGTTCCACGGTTTAACCAATAAAAGGTCGATATTTTTTTGACTAAACTGATACAACACGTTTAAGAGACATTGGAAATGTCATCCACAAACAGTCCCTATCCATGCTCGTATGTTGATAATATTTAGAGTATTTGAGCTACTTCTTGAGGTACAAATCTTATCTTGCTAAAAACTTATTTATTCTTCGAGTTTTTGATACACGAAATATATTCAACCACTAAACTTCGAATATCTCACTTAACTTCAAATATCTCAGAGCAGTATGTTAACAAGGCTTGACCTCTAAAACTCCCTTGGATCTTTACACTAAACCATCAACCAACGACAACCAAGATCCAATATTCACACTTCTCACAAGTGGGACAGAACTCCTTTATAAACGCAGGCATCTCCTTAACAAAACAAGATGCTCCCCTCTAACATCTCCAACATCGCTCTACATGGGATCCAGAACGCCGCACTACACGACACCTGGATAGGATACCACATCTTCATCCTGCTAGCATCTCTACTAGGAGACACCACCATCCTCATAGCTTCCGTAAAGTACCAGGCACTGAAACTGAACAAGCTGATCGTAGTGATAATCCACAATATAGCGGTATGTAACCTCCTGGTAGCTGTAACAACCGTGTTACCCAGAGCAGTGTCCCTTATAACCCAGAAGTGGGTGTTTGGGAAGGGGCTGTGTTACCTGCTCGGCTACACTTACAACTACTTCCACACGGTCAGCGTACTCCTGGTATGTGCCATGACAACCA